TATTTCTTGAATAATAGGTAATGCAATAAGATTTTTAATAAGCATTAGGCTAAGAGTTTAGTTGCTAATATGCTGAGATATTGACACTTAATAGCTAAAATGCTAACATCTACATTAATGCAACTGGCTGGCCAGACACTTTTATCCACAGCAACTTGCATTGAAGGTGTACATGTTATCAGTTCATACATTTCGCTCTACTAGATCAACACATGTTTGTTTGTTCGTTCAGGAGCCCGATGATCAGGAAGCACCTGATGAGCACGACTCATCGCCACCGGAGGACACTGCGCTCTATCCTCATTCTCCAGGGACGCAGTATCAGCAGGTGACCTCCACATGCTAGTCCTTCATACACGAGTTAGACGGCTGATAACTAGCTGTGCTTATATCAAACACTGTGCCATGTGCACAGCACAGAAGGTCTTGCACCGTTTCTTGTAGGTGCGTAATATTACACCCCATTAATGCCGGGCTGGATTCATCAGTTATGAGATCGAACCATTTGACACAAACTATGGGAAGAAGAGAAAAGGAACGTAGACGTATTTCCTGCTGCTCTTTCACACTCTCGCTCTCCATCTGTGGCGTTCATTGCTGCAAACCCGATGACTGTTCTGCCAGATTTCAAACCGGTTTGAATGTACATATGTGTGCTTTATGCCAGTTTAATGCCACATCAGTTCAAACCAGTTTGAAGCGTGTTGTAATGTCTGCCACGAGTCTCATGATCTTAACTTATTATTAAATCATTACCAGCCACTCTCATAGATCTCACTCGTGTTATGTTCCCTCTCTCTGCAGCCTAATAACCAGCCTCACGGGCAGCCCTACACCGGCCCGGCCGCCCAGCACATGAATAACCCGCAGCAAGCCCCGCAGAGGCCTCAAGAAAGCTGGGAGGGAACCGACGAGGTCCCTCCAGTCCAGACTAAAGAGTAGCAGTCGCCCACACCTTGCCTCGAGACCGCATCCGCTCGTCTCCAGGACCGAGACCAGGCCTTACAAACAGCAGTCTCGTAACGTACTCTATGCCACCCAACTCCTGCAGCACTGATGTCTCTCTTCTCCACACTAGATCTGTCTGTGATGATGAACCTGGAGCGACGTGAGTGTCCACACTGTCTGCAGACGAGCTGCGTGGGTACAGCTCTTGGAGTGATCCATCACTGTAGCGTGAGCGTTCAGGAATGTTGATGGTGTATATAGTGTGCAAATATCTAGACCTTTGGACCCCCTCCAGTTTCATCATCATCTAAAAATACCACAGCAGCCGAATGAAGGGAAACCCGAGGCTTCGTCGCCGCCGGGTGTTGCTCGTGTGTGAGGATGAGTTTGCTGCGTCAGCACCGAGGCACACAAACATTACATGCTCATGACTCTCCGTGGGGTTTCTGGATCAACTCGGCGTCGCTCTACTGATTTAGAAGGCATTGAAATCTTTCAGCGCTGCTTATTTGTTTTGCTTTTCTTCATTCATCAGGGCGCCTTCGGCCTGTTAGGAGTGTGCTGTGAGCTTCTGTTAGGGTCTTTAACACCACTTTCTCGTCCATCCACTTCAACCTCATTAGCAGCTGGTGGCTGCAGATTTACTCCACAGACTAAAGTCTCTCTGGCACTCGAGTCTGTTTCATTTGTATTGTCAGCAGGCTGGAAAGTGTAATAACTCATCTTGTTTTGCCACCATTGAATCGAATTTCAGTTGCCCTAGTTCTTAGTCTGCCTCTTGGCTCCTCCCACTTCCTCCGTCCCTGTCCAATGAAAATGCAGCCACGGCCACACTGCTCTGTATCCGGGGAGATTTGCAGGGAGGTCATCGTGCTCCGGGATTCATCAACTCTGCTGGATTTATAAAGTGTGGCTCTTTTGTCTGAATACCAAAATGCCAGCGAAGGAAGTCGGAGCTCACCATATTCTATTTAGCCGTTTTCTTTGATAGAGGTTATTTTGTTGAATTTGAGAAGAAAGAGTTTGAGCGTTTGAATGAAAAGGCCTTGTCCTAGTGTTATTTTTAAGAGGATATTCACTCTACAGAGTTCTGTGAGTCCTGTTTTTGCCGAGCGTTGTTTACGGCGTGAGGTTGGATTCTGGAGCTGCTTTAGCCATGTGAAGTTTTCTTTCTTTCCCTGCACAGACGTATAATAACAGAAGCACTGCACCACTGGAAACAATAAATTACACATTTAAATGCAAGTTTTACTTTTTATTAGCTTTCCGATGGTTTCTATAAGAAGGTACATTTTGTAAATACCTAATGCACGCAGAAACACGCTCGTTAAATCATTGTGTGCTGATAGATTTTATTCAGCAGACGGTCAGAACGCCACGTGGATCTGCTGAAGGTTATCCTGAAACATCTGCAGACATCCTGACAAAGACTGAACGGCCCTGAACTAGATCTTGACGGATCGACTGGGTAGTGAGTGGGGGTGGAGGGGTTAAACCATCTTAACTAGCACTACAGGTCCACCTTCTCTCAGGCCATCTGTTAAGAATACTTCCTCTGTGACAGAGAGAATCTCACAAGCTCCATGTTTGTAAATGCTTATTAGAGTGACATTTGCCTTCTGCTTTGTTTTTGCTCTTTCAGGTTTCATTTTGTTTTAATTCTAAAGCTCTTTTAGTGAAACGTGCATGGATAATATTCCTCGGCCTTCGAGCACTGTACAAACCCAGCACACTGTAAAATTATACTTTAAAGGTAAAAAATAAATGGTATTTGAATTACGTGTCTGTCTGATAAACTGGCCTACATCTGCTCAAAACATCTGATTCAGTGCTCATAGTTTAAACACTGTGTACTCTGAAATTTCAGTTATGAAGCAGCAACTTTAATGCATCGCATCCCTGTTTCTGACCAAATGTAACAGCATCACATTGCAAAGGGTCATCACGAAGGACGTGTTTTGTGAAATGACTGGACAGCTTGACTCTTTCTTTTGAAGCTGTTATGATCCTCAAGACACTCAGGTCTGTTCTGCAGAGACTGATACACATTTCACACACTGTTGTACTGTTTGCATCCTGTAGCTCAAGTTTATGCTTCAGAACATATGTATTTGCGCTTGTAGAACAAATGAACTACACTTCCAGGTGATCTGTGAGGAGATGAAATGCAGCAACATTAAATGACCGACGAATGACACGGATTCAGCTCAACTAGGCCTCATCCGCAGGTGTAAACAGCCCCATGTGTATGGAAGGCCAAAAGGGCCATAAAACACGTGAATTTCAACACGTCAACAACACGTTAAATACGTGTTATTAGAGTGACATTTGCCTTCTGCTTTGTTTTTGCTCTTTCAGGTTTCATTTTGTTTTAATTCTAAAGCTCTTTTAGTGAAACGTGCATGGATAATATTCCTCGGCCTTCGAGCACTGTACAAACCCAGCACACTGTAAAATTATACTTTAAAGGTAAAAAATAAATGGTATTTGAATTACGTGTCTGTCTGATAAACTGGCCTACATCTGCTCAAAACATCTGATTCAGTGCTCATAGTTTAAACACTGTGTACTCTGAAATTTCAGTTATGAAGCAGCAACTTTAATGCATCGCATCCCTGTTTCTGACCAAATGTAACAGCATCACATTGCAAAGGGTTCATCACGAAGGACGTGTTTTGTGAAATGACTGGACAGCTTGACTCTTTCCTTTGAAGCTGTTATGATCCTCAAGACACTCAGGTCTGTTCTGCAGAGACTGATACACATTTCACACACTGTTGTACTGTTTGCATCCTGTAGCTCAAGTTTTTGTTTTTGCTCTTTCAGGTTTCATTTTGTTTTAATTCTAAAGCTCTTTTAGTGAAACGTGCATGGATAATATTCCTCGGCCTTCGAGCACTGTACAAACCCAGCACACTGTAAAATTATACTTTAAAGGTAAAAAATAAATGGTATTTGAATTACGTGTCGGTCTGATAAACTGGCCTACATCTGCTCAAAACATCTGATTCAGTGCTCATAGTTTAAACACTGTGTACTCTGAAATTTCAGTTATGAAGCAGCAACTTTAATGCATCGCATCCCTGTTTCTGACCAAAGTAACAGCATCACATTGCAAAGGGTTCATCACGAAGGACGTGTTTTGTGAAATGACTGGACAGCTTGACTCTTTCTTTTGAAGCTGTTATGATCCTCAAGACACTCAGGTCTGTTCTGCAGAGACTGATACACATTTCACACACTGGTGTACTGTTTGCATCCTGTAGCTCAAGTTTATGCTTCAGAACATATGTATTTGCGCTTGTAGAACAAATGAACTACACTTCCAGGTGATCTGTGAGGAGATGAAATGCAGCAACATTAAATGACCGACGAATGACACGGATTCAGCTCAACTAGGCCTCATCCGCAGGTGTAAACAGCCCCATGTGTATGGAAGGCCAAAAGGGCCATAAAACACGTGAATTTCAACACGTCAACAACACGTTAAATACGTGTTTGCGCGTGAAAAATCAGCGCGTTAAATATGCGTATTCAACACGTATATGAAGTGTTAAATGTGTTAAAAATCAGTTTGAAGGGGTCAGTGTCACTGGCTGCTGAAGACTTGGGTCAAACCATTTCCGTGAGCTTAGAGGGGTGTACCACTCATAGACTAGGCTACCACCATTTAACATGCCATAGATCAGCTTATTCAGCCTATTTATTTTGTCATTTTTTGTATAGCCTATAGAAATGATATATTTAAATTGCAGTTTTATGAAAAATTAGATACAAAATAAAATAGCCTCGTTTTTCTCCACTCATGCCTTTTTGTAAATAAACACATTAGTGGGCATTCTAGCTTTAACAGTGATCAAACTTAAATTAGCATCAAAGCATTAAGATTTGTTACAACGCGTGAAATACGCTTATTTAACGTGTTGCAATTCCCGTGTTTTTGGCCCGTTTAGCCTTCCATACGTGTGGCGTCGCTCCCATAGACTGTATGCTCGCTCCTCGAAGTCTCGCGTGAAAAGCGTCACGCGGTGATTCTGTCGTCCAATAAAATGACGCGGTTTCCGCTGCGCTCTTATTTCACCCTCAGATTGAGAAAGACGCGCAGCTCGAGTTCCGAATATCGTCGACGCGGAGTCTAATTCAGACACACTGAAGATTATTAAAACCCGAACGTTTCCTTTTAAAGCGACGTTTGCGTTTCCATTTTTCTTTCCTTTGTTCAAAGTTTCACGTTTCACCGACCGGCGTCGACGGGGATCACAGGACGCGGCAGCGGAGCACGAGCGACATACCGGCAAACAAAGAAACCCGTTTGTGCGAGAGATCAGCCTTCATCAGCCCATAGTTATGAGTCATGTGGCCGTCGAAAATGTGCACGGTCTAGACCAGCAGGTAAGCGGGCGCCGGCGGCGGGGTTTCGGGGCTGTTCTGAGGCCGGCCTGCGGCGCGTTTAAGATGGAGGAGCTGCTGTCGATGAGCGGATGATGGCGGAGCCGCGGCGCGTTTGTTTGTCACACGCGGCTGCGTCTCGCGATGCGTCCACGGGGTTCGGGAGGTTCGAGTTCTGAACGGTTTTCGCGCAGAGATTCCAGTGTAACGTTACTTCATGAGTGTCTGTATCGAGATCGAGCAGGAAAACTTTCAGCTGGCGGGTTTCTGGCCTGTGACCGAGATTCTTCTGGCCTTTTGTCTGACCAGGTCTTTTTCACTGCGTTTGCTCTTATATTGTTTATTTGTCGTTACTTCTCTTAATAGAAACAGACTTTTTTTATTTTTGTACGTCAGGTGAACCCAAACGGACGCGAATATCGCGATGTAACGCACCGAATCTCCCAAGAGTTTTAATTTCCTGTAACGACACACGGTGAATATCGGCGAATAATTCTTTAATTTAATTCGCGTGATGTAGTTGTCGTAGATGTCGTGTGAGATAACGTTAATTTAGTGACGCATGTTGTGTGTTTCAGTGTTTATAACCGTCTAAACCAGCTTGGACGCGTTTGAGTGGTTTCGTAGGTTTTAAGGTAGATGTTATATCGTTGAACGCCGAAGGCTTGAGTAAAGTTTCTGATCTCGGCGTCCTCTTGTACAAACTGAACGTGTTTCCTCTCACTGACCCCAGATCAGCTCTTAAATGTGTTTCTGTCCTCATCACATCAGCTCTGTCTAACGAGATTCTTCTCTTTCAGCTCGCTGCCCTAGACTTGAACTCCGCTGATGTTCAAGGAGTCCCTGGAAGTGAGTATCTGTCTCGGATGGTTTTCTGACATTGGTTTTGCTCTGGATGAAGGAGAGTTGTGTGTTTGCCATGCTAACAAAGTCTGTCTTCACCAGGGCGTTACATTCCACCTCATTTAAGGAACAAAGAAGCTTCCAAAAATGGTACTACACTTTTTTCTTCTTGTCTTGTCTGGTTAACCCTTAAACTCCAGCGCCGGGTTGTAATTGTCTGATTTAAAGCCACTCTGGCTATGTTTACTTGCACAACTTTTGTTTCAATCGGACTGAGTTCATTCTGATTGATTAATCTCTTACATGAATGCTAAATAAAATGATCTGGTTGATGTGTGCGTTTATATGTCAGAACCTTTGACATGCGCACACTGCACAGATGTGACCCTGGAGCACAAAACCATAAGTGTCAATTCGTTGAAATTGAGATTTATACAACATCTGAAAGCTGAATAAATAAGCTTTCCATTGATGTATGGTTTGTTAGGATAGCACAATATTTGGCTGAGATACAACTATTTGAAAATCTGGATAGGAGATTTACAAAATATCTTCATGGAATATAATCTTTACTTAATATCCTAATGATTTTTGGCATAAAATAAAAAAATCAATAATTTTGACCCATGCAATGTATTTTTGGCTATTGCTACAAATATCCCCCAGCGACTTAAGACTGGTCACATTTACAGTTTCCCGCTGTTTGTGCATAGTAACCGTTCTCCTACACAGTTTCTTTATTTATTTTAAACAGCAGAATTAGCTCATATTTATCAATTTCTGGTCATAATTTGGCACCGCTGTGCCGTGCTGCTTATATTTATCAGGCAGTAAAAACGCCTGTCGTCTGTGGATGAGAATCTGAAACCGGGACTGATGGGACGTCGTCCTGCTCCACTTCACAGACGCTGAGTGAAGAGAGTTTTATAATGACGGGACACTCATTTATTCAACAGGAAGAACAACTCGTTCCGCGCGTCATTAACGCTATTTCTGCATCGTTGCACATGCGCAGTCCTTCCAGTTTCAGTTTTCAATCTGATCGAGTGTTTACATGCACTCTCGATCGTACTAGAAAAGGAATAAACCACACCTTTCAATCCGATCTAACTTTCATTCGGATCGATTGAGGCGTTTACATGAAGGCTTTTCAGTCCGATTGACCCGTCAATCTGATTACTAACGGATTATTTGGTTGCGTGTAAACGGTGTTTGTGGCGCAGCACGTCTAGTCTATCGTTTGCTTCTGTCTAGGTGCCAGTGCGCTACTGTCTCGAGCACTTTCCACATGCATGTTGTTCAGTACTCATCCTGACCCAAAATCGAGTGGTTTTCCACCGGCGTTTTTGGATCATTTTATCCCCCCTCCATCTTTTGTCCGTTGACACAAGTGATCGATATGCTGGCATGCAAAAAAAACAACAACTTGTGCATCTAAAATTCAACCAGAGCTTGTCTGAACCGTATTGGCCGAGACTCTCAGCAGTATAGGTTTGAGATGCTCCGTGATCTTTAGTCTTCTCCTTGTGACGAGGCTGTTTGGCCCAGCACCCTCCTGACTATAAGTTTGTTCTTTTAGCTGGAGCTTATTCCTCTGGTAGACAGAGCGGTTACTCAGTGGCACCAGGAAGGAGCTGTAAGTTTCTATTGACAGCTTTTGGCTAAAGAGAGACTTTGAGGGGAAATCCTCGAATATGCATGATTCCACGATTAATTCTCAGCACACACTTGGAATCGTAACAGCTTATTTCAGCCACATTTCTTTCCAATGCAAGATTGCAAATGAGGCTTTGAAGAGCACTTTTGTTTAAAGACCCCACTCAGATGAGGGGGGAAATATTTAGAGTGGATGCTCCCATGTCTGCATTTACTTGAATTTTCAGCAATTTCAATGTAGTCGGTCAAGTCGAGGACTGGTGGCAGACTACCTAACTAGAGCCGAGAAGTAGGAGTCCATGCCTTACTTGACTAACTGCTTTGCTTTTGATCATCCGCCCCCAGAATGCTCCGCTCCATGTAACGTTTCTAGCACACGTGTGTTTAATAACCCCGTCCTCTCGCTCTCACACAGATTCTCCCGGAGGATGGGATAACGGACGCAGCAATGGCTTCGTGAACGGCTGCCACGATGGCCGAGACAACCGCATGAATGGGGGCAACAGTTTCGGTGGCCGCGGCTCCGTGCGCAACGACCGCGGAGGAAGAGGAGGCTTCAGAGGTAAAACCAGCGGCTCCTACAACCCCATCCAGCCAATGCAGAGCGCAGGCAGGTGTCTTCACCATACGTCTGAGAACGCTTGCTTTGCTGTTTGACTACACGACTTGCACTGCTGCTTTTTGATGTGAATCGTTCTCTCTTTAATAGGATTTGGTTATGACAACAAAGATGCCGGCGGGTGGAATGCCCCAAAAGACACTGCCTACAACAGCTTTGGCGGCCGCTCTGACCGGGGCAAATCATCTTTCTTCAATGACCGCGGGTCTTCATCCAGGGGGCGGTGAGGCTTTGTTGCTTTCTTTAGTTGCTGCTTTGTCTCTTTATCGAATAACTTGTGATGTAAGTCTCTGTAAGTCCTGGATCTGTCTGAAGCAGTGTTGTGTTTGGCAGGTATGAGCGTGGAGGTTTTGGCGGCGGTGGGAACAGCCGATGGGTGGAGGACTCCAGAGACGATGAAGACTGGTCCAAACCGTTGCCTCCCAATGAGCGTGTGGAACAGTGAGTGTTGCTGTTTTGACATAATGCTGCTTTCAAGTTCCTGTGAAGGTGTTCCTACTTCCTTATCCTTAAAAAATGACTAACATTAGATTTGAAGTAGTTCTGATGTGGTGTCGTTGATATGTTAATCTTGTAAATGCAATCCTGGAGGTTGCCAGTGGTTTTTAAGCCAAAGTGGTGTTTGTCTGACACTTGTTTTTCCTGTTTTCTCGCAGTGAGCTCTTCTCTGGAGGCAACACCGGGATTAACTTTGAGAAATATGATGACATTCCTGTTGAAGCCACAGGCCAGAACTGTCCACCACATATTGAGAGTGTGAGTCACCTGATCCAGATCCGAGTTTAATTGCAAATTAATATATATATATTTTAATAAATTAATCTTTGTGTGTTTTTGTAATACAGTTCCATGATGTAGATATGGGAGAGATCATTATGGGAAATATAGCCCTGACCCGCTACACACGGCCCACTCCTGTCCAGAAGCACGCTATTCCCATCATCAAGACTAAGAGAGACCTGATGGCGTGCGCACAGACAGGTGAGACGTCCGCTTAGTTGCTCATGATTTGTTGTTTTTTAGCATGTGTGTGGTAAATGCTTGATTGACCTTGTCTTTGTGACTGTAACTAGGTTCTGGTAAGACTGCAGCCTTCCTGCTGCCGGTCCTGAGCCAGATATACACTGAAGGACCGGGAGAGGCGCTGCAGGCTGTGAAGAACAGTGCACAGGTAGCATTTCCCGTGTGTTAGTTTGGCAATAAAGAACTGGCTCACTACATTTGTTGGATATTTTAACTGGGCGTGTTCTTGTCTTTAGGAAAATGGGAAATATGGCCGCCGTAAGCAGTATCCCATTTCACTGGTTTTAGCCCCAACAAGGGAACTGGCGCTCCAGATCTACGATGAGGCCAGGAAGGTAATAAACAACCGAACCAGAACACCGTCTCATTGGAACTTCCCAATTTCTGTTGGTTGAAACGTATTTTAAAAAAAATTAAAAATTCCCGTGTGTGTGTAGTTTGCGTACCGCTCTCATGTGCGGCCCTGTGTGGTGTATGGAGGCGCTGATATCGGTCAGCAGATTCGTGATCTGGAGAGAGGCTGCCATCTGCTGGTGGCCACTCCTGGGCGTCTGGTGGACATGATGGAGAGGGGCAAGATCGGCCTGGACTACTGCAAGTACGTCACTGATCTGCTGCACTTTGTGCCTCTGTGGAACGCCGTCCAATCTTATGCATGTCTGTTACTTTTAATGGTGCCCAGTTTTAGGTCCAAGAATGCACTAGCTTCTCTTATTTTCACTGTTTTGTGGCTTGACTATAAGTTTTAATGGTGTGCTTTAAACATTTCCAGACTGTTTGTTTCCAGGGTTTTCTCACGCTGCGCGTTAGTGTTTGTTAACAGTAATCTAACAGTAATAATGATGGGTTTGTGTAACGGACATGACCTGATATCAGCCTAATTACACGACATTCACACAACCTCCTGACTGCTTCATTCAGCAAACACACAGAGAGACGATTAACCGCCGCCAGGGTGTGATTTCCTACTAAAGTCACATTAAAGTCATCACAGTAACAGATGCTGTTTCTCTGCTCTGATCCAGACACAATTAAACGCTCAAAGCAAACAAACTGGATAAAGCCCAATCCATTAATCCTGAAGCGCGTTTCCACTGACACAGAGCGAGCGTTTTCAATTCATTCCTATTAGGCTTGCAAAAAGGTGGAACATTTCCAGTAAATTTAGGAAACATTCCAGGATTTTTTGGAATCTTTCAGGGATTTTTTGGCAAGTTTCCGGACATTTTCCACCCCTTTCCAACCCTAATTCCTATGGAAGCTGAGCTTAAACGCTCGCGCGGTGCACTATTGAAAGCGTCGAGGCTGAGCATTCCTCGACTTTATGCAAATATTGAGCGAAAAACGCCGGTTGAGAACCAATCGCTGTCAAAAGTAGGCAAGGCAAGATTTTGCCGTATGTTTGCTGAACTGGTGGATTACTGAGATCACTTGTCGTTGAAAAAGTCATAGCAAAAGAAAATGCACTTTGCATGCTTTCATTATATGTGACCCTAGACTACAAAACCAGTCATAAGGGTCGATTCTTTTCTGGAATATGAATACATAATCTTTCCATTGATGTATGGTTTGTTAGGATAGCACAATATTTGGCTGAGATACAACTATTTGAAAATCTGGAATCTGAGGGTGCAAAAAAATCTAAATATTGAAAAAATCATCTTTAAAGTTGTTCAAATGAAGTTCTTAGCAATGCATATTACTAATCAAAAATTAAGTTTTGATATATTTACGGTAGGAGATTTACAAAATATCTTCATGGAATATAATCTTTACTTAATATCCTAATGATTTTTGGCATAAAATAAAAAAATCAATAATTTTGACCCATGCAATGTATTTTTGGCTATTGCTACAAATATCCCCCAGCGACTTAAGACTGGTCACATTTACAGTTTCCCGCTGTTTGTGCATAGTAACCGTTCTCCTACACAGTTTCTTTATTTATTTTAAACAGCAGAATTAGCTCATATTTATCAATTTCTGGTCATAATTTGGCACCGCTGTGCCGTGCTGCTTATATTTATCAGGCAGTAAAAACGCCTGTCGTCTGTGGATGAGAATCTGAAACCGGGACTGATGGGACGTCGTCCTGCTCCACTTCACAGACGCTGAGTGAAGAGAGTTTTATAATGACGGGACACTCATTTATTCAACAGGAAGAACAACTCGTTCCGCGCGTCATTAACGCTATTTCTGCATCGTTGCACATGCGCAGTCCTTCCAGTTTCAGTTTTCAATCTGATCGAGTGTTTACATGCACTCTCGATCGTACTAGAAAAGGAATAAACCACACCTTTCAATCCGATCTAACTTTCATTCGGATCGATTGAGGCGTTTACATGAAGGCTTTTCAGTCCGATTGACCCGTCAATCTGATTACTAACGGATTATTTGGTTGCGTGTAAACGGTGTTTGTGGCGCAGCACGTCTAGTCTATCGTTTGCTTCTGTCTAGGTGCCAGTGCGCTACTGTCTCGAGCACTTTCCACATGCATGTTGTTCAGTACTCATCCTGACCCAAAATCGAGTGGTTTTCCACCGGCGTTTTTGGATCATTTTATCCCCCCTCCATCTTTTGTCCGTTGACACAAGTGATCGATATGCTGGCATGCAAAAAAAACAACAACTTGTGCATCTAAAATTCAACCAGAGCTTGTCTGAACCGTATTGGCCGAGACTCTCAGCAGTATAGGTTTGAGATGCTCCGTGATCTTTAGTCTTCTCCTTGTGACGAGGCTGTTTGGCCCAGCACCCTCCTGACTATAAGTTTGTTCTTTTAGCTGGAGCTTATTCCTCTGGTAGACAGAGCGGTTACTCGGTGGCACCAGGAAGGAGCTGTAAGTTTCTATTGACAGCTTTTGGCTAAAGAGAGACTTTGAGGGGAAATCGCATGATTCCCATGATTCCACGATTAATTCTCAGCACACACTTGGAATCGTAACGGCTTATTTCAGCCACCAATGCAAGAAATGCAAGATTGCAAATGAGGCTTTGAAGAGCACTTTTGTTTAAAGACCCCACTCAGATGAGGGGGGAAATATTTAGAGTGGATGCTCCCATGTCTGCATTTACTTGAATTTTCAGCAATTTCAATGTAGTCCTAACTAGAGCCGAGAAGTAGAAGTCCATGCCCTACTTGACTAACTGCTTTGCTTTTGATCATCCGCCCCCAGAATGCTCCGCTCCATGTAACGTTTCTAGCACACGTGTGTTTAATAACCCCGTCCTCTCGCTCTCACACAGATTCTCCCGGAGGATGGGATAACGGACGCAGCAATGGCTTCGTGAACGGCTGCCACGATGGCCGAGACAACCGCATGAATGGGGGCAACAGTTTCGGTGGCCGCGGCTCCGTGCGCAACGACCGCGGAGGAAGAGGAGGCTTCAGAGGTAAAACCAGCGGCTCCTACAACCCCATCCAGCCAATGCAGAGCGCAGGCAGGTGTCTTCACCATACGTCTGAGAACGCTTGCTTTGCTGTTTGACTACACGACTTGCACTGCTGCTTTTTGATGTGAATCGTTCTCTCTTTAATAGGATTTGGTTATGACAACAAAGATGCCGGCGGGTGGAATGCCCCAAAAGACACTGCCTACAACAGCTTTGGCGGCCGCTCTGACCGGGGCAAATCATCTTTCTTCAATGACCGCGGGTCTTCATCCAGGGGGCGGTGAGGCTTTGTTGCTTTCTTTAGTTGCTGCTTTGTCTCTTTATCGAATAACTTGTGATGTAAGTCTCTGTAAGTCCTGGATCTGTCTGAAGCAGTGTTGTGTTTGGCAGGTATGAGCGTGGAGGTTTTGGCGGCGGTGGGAACAGCCGATGGGTGGAGGACTCCAGAGACGATGAAGACTGGTCCAAACCGTTGCCTCCCAATGAGCGTGTGGAACAGTGAGTGTTGCTGTTTTGACATAATGCTGCTTTCAAGTTCCTGTGAAGGTGTTCCTACTTCCCCTATCCCTGAACAAAAACTAGCTATGATGTGTGAAGTAGTTGTAGCAATGTTTTACTCAAAGATATGAGTGCTTTTAAAATTCTGCAGTGAAGAGCATCAGATTGAAGTAGTTGCGACATGGTGTCGTTCATATAATCTTGTAAATGTGAGCATTGATTTGACTTGGCGTTTGCGTACGGTTTTTTAACCAAAGTGGAGTTTAGCCTGACACTTGTTCCTGTTTTCCTGCAGTGAACTCTTCTCTGGAGGCAACACCGGGATTAACTTTGAGAAATATGATGACATTCCTGTTGAAGCCACAGGCCAGAACTGTCCACCACATATTGAGAGTGTGAGTCACCTGATCATGATCAGAGTTTAATTGCAAATTATTTATTAGTTTTTTTTTATCACCATCTTTGTGTTTTTGTAATACAGTTCCATGATGTAGATATGGGAGAGATCATTATGGGAAATATAGCCCTGACCCGCTACACACGGCCCACTCCTGTCCAGAAGCACGCTATTCCCATCATCAAGACTAAGAGAGACCTGATGGCGTGCGCACAGACAGGTGAGACGTCCGCTTGGTTGCTCACTTTTTTTTCTTCTTTTTTTTTCTTCCCTGTGTGTGTATGGTAAATGCATGAAATGACGTCCGTGTTTGTGACTATAACTAGGTTCTGGTAAGACTGCAGCCTTCCTGCTGCCGGTCCTGAGCCAGATATACACTGAAGGACCGGGAGAGGCGCTGCAGGCTGTGAAGAACAGTGCACAGGTAGCACTTCCCGTGTGTTAGTTTGGCAATAAAGAACTGGCTCCTACTTTTGTTGGATGTTTTAACTGGGCATCGTCTTGTCTTTAGGAAAATGGGAAATATGGCCGCCGTAAGCAGTATCCCATTTCGCTGGTTTTAGCCCCAACAAGGGAACTGGCGCTCCAGATCTACGATGAGGCCAGGAAGGTAATAAACAACCGAACCAGAACACCGTCTCATTGGAACTTCCCGATTACTGTCAAATGAAATGCATTTAAACCTCGTTGTTGTTTTTTTTTCTACCCCTTATCTAGTTTGCGTACCGCTCTCATGTGCGGCCCTGTGTGGTGTATGGAGGCGCTGATATCGGTCAGCAGATTCGTGATCTGGAGAGAGGCTGCCATCTGCTGGTGGCCACTCCTGGGCGTCTGGTGGACATGATGGAGAGGGGCAAGATCGGCCTGGACTACTGCAAGTACGTCAAAGATCTGCTGCACTTTGTGCCTCTGTGGAATGTGGTTTTGTTTGCTGTTGTTGCCTAACAATTTGTGATTTGCATTCCCATTCCGTTGTAATTCAAACCTTTGGATTTCACTTGCTTTTGTTTACTTTTTTAATGGTCCTTTGGGTACCCCGTCCAAGAATGCACTAGCTTCTCATATTTTCACTGTTTTGTAGTTTGACAATTAGCTGTGTGTTTCTGTCGTTAGTTATCTGGTGCTGGATGAAGCAGACCGCATGTTGGACATGGGCTTCGAGCCACAGATTCGCCGTATCGTCGAGCAGGACACCATGCCGCCCAAAGGGCTTCGTCAGACCATGATGTTCAGTGCCACCTTCCCCAAGGAGATCCAGGTGAGTGTTGCAGGCTAATCTCTTTAAAACACCGTGATGTTACAACCTCAGGATGGCTCTGGCTTGTACGGTTTATTGTGGTGAGGCCTATACGCTGAGTTTTGGTTAAATTTTTTCTGTGACGCTTCAGTTTACTGAGACGGCAGAAAACGCATCCGTTTTTCTTTATTTTACAAAAGCACAACGTTTCGTTATGAGTGTAAACAAAATTAGACCCTTTACAGTTTTCGGAATGGATTTTATTGTAGGTAAGTCGAGTGTTGATTTGAGAAGGCTAAAGTGATCAAATGTGGTCAACTCGCTGTTGGCTGCTTGGTTGTCACTTTAAAAAAAAAAAAAAAAGCTAATCACGTTGATATTAAAAACAAAACTGAAGTATTTTAATGGCTGCAACAGTAGTATAGGCTGTGTAATGGGGAGGAGGAAGAAAGAAAGAAAGAAAAAAAAACCCCGGGCTCCAGTCGGACTCGGGCCGAGAGTTCTGATAAGCTGTTAGACAAGGGCCGGGCTAGGGCCTGATCGTCTCGGGCCAGGGCCTAGATTTGAGGCCCATGCAGGGCTTTAATGTAGTTCTCATGGTGTTAAGATTTTTACTTGACACTTTTTTTTCTTTCCCTCCCCTGATATTTCTTTGGAAGTAGTCATGCTCCTTTTCAGTGTTTCGTTCCTGCGGTTGGATCTGTGCATGAAGTGGCATGTAACCAATGCCATGTTGAATTGTAAAGCCATAAGACTGCTGTAATTTGGTTGCATTCAGCAGGACAGCACATGGTGGTTCAGCATGGCTGCGACTACAGTAGTCTTCTGAATTTAACAAAGTTCACTTCTATGAGATCCAAATGCTTGTCACTCCCTGTTTGCCATATGCTGCCATTCATTAGCTTCTGCTCCTCGTACTGAAGCGTGATGTCAGTTGTTGATAGTCTTCATCTCATCCAACAGGTAAAGAATCTTTGACCTTGGTGTTTGTTGAGACCAAGAAGGGAGCGGATGCTCTGGAGGACTTCCTGTATCGTGAGGGCTACGCCTGCACCAGTATCCACGGCGACCGTTCCCAGAGAGACCGTGAGGAAGCGCTCCAACAGTTCCGTTCAGGGAGATGCCCCATCTTAGTAGCCACGGCTGTATGTCATCTTACTTTCCTCTTTCGTTTGTTTAATCTTTGGTATGTTTTGGTGCAAGTCTCAAACTCTTTTGTTCCGCAGGTGGCTGCTCGTGGTCTGGACATCTCCAATGTGAAACACGTCATCTGCGACTACAGTAGTCTTTTGAAATTAACGCAAAGTTCACTTCTATGAGATCCAAATGCTTGTCACTCCCTGTTTGCCATATGCTGCCATTCATTAGCTTCTGCTCCTCGTACTGAAGCGTGATGTCAGTTGTTGATAGTCTTCATCTCATCCAACAGGTAAAGAATCTTTGACCTTGGTGTTTGTTGAGACCAAGAAGGGAGCGGATGCTCTGGAGGACTTCCTGTACCGTGAGGGCTACGCCTGCACCAGTATCCACGGCGACCGTTCCCAGAGAGACCGTGAGGAAGCGCTCCAACAGTTCCGTTCAGGGAGATGCCCCATCTTAGTAGCCACGGCTGTATGTCATCTTACTTTCCTCTTTCGTTTGTTTAATCTTTGGTATGTTTTGGTGCAAGTCTCAAACTCTTTTGTTCCGCAGGTGGCTGCTCGTGGTCTGGACATCTCCAATGTGAAACACGTCATTAACTTTGACCTGCCTAGTGACATCGAGGAGTACGTCCACCGCATCGGGCGAACCGGTCGTGTGGGAAACCTTGGTAATTGCAATAACAGTGTTGATATGCTTGCTGTAGTATACAATGGAACATTTGTCTGCTGTTTAGTGCCAGATCCTAATGCATCCCAGCGAATTCAGTCGTTTTGTTGGGTTGTCTCAGGTCTTGCCACATCATTCTTCAATGATAAGAATAGCAACATCACCAAGGATCTGCTGGACATCGTGGTGGAGGCCAAACAGGAAGTCCCGTCCTGGCTGGAGAGCCTGGCCTATGAGCACCAGCACAAGAGCAGCAGCCGCGGGCGCTCCAAGAGGTGTCTTTCCATTTCTGAAGTTTTTTTACCTTTTACGATCAGCCCCTGGGCACCCTGTTAAAAGGGTTTGGTGTTTTTCAGGTTTTCTGGTGGTTTTGGTGCCAGAGACTACCGTCAGACCAGCAGCAGCACCAGCGGCGGAGGCTTCGGGAGTCGCGGCGGCCGTAACACCGGCGGTCACGGAGGAAACCGCGGATTTGGCGGGGGTAAGGGTCGGTTTCGCTCCGGAACAACACCCTCATTGGGGGAAGAGGCCTTGGTGGCTTTTTTTATTTACTGCTTTCCTTCTAAGATATTTTCCAGTTTAGCTGCATGACCGCATGGTTCTTGAGTGCCCGTCACTCACCTGGTGTTTCTGGTCCTCAGGTGGCTTTGGTAACTTCTACAGCAGTGATGGCTACGGAGGAAACTATTCGCAGGTGGACTGGTGGGGAAACTAAGACTCTTTCCTTCACCTCTTCACTCCCCACGATGACAGTGGATCACCATGCCAAACTCACTGAATGGAAACCACATGTACCATAGCCAGACTGTATACCCTGTGTAGCTTTGAAGAACTTTGCAGTACATTACCAGCTGTGATTCTCTGACCACATCCGGAGAAGCTTGAGCTCCGTGGGACTCGGGGATGCCGGGATTTCTGGAGGTTTGACTGAAGCGGTCTCATGATGTGCTCGACCGTACTGAAGGGGGAACTGAGGCAGAAGTTTGCTTTAGATTCTTGGACTCTAGTTTTCCACTACATCTCATTTCTTTATACTAAACGAGAATCATTTGTTTGTTAATGTACTGTGCCTTTAAATTTAGACTCGCTGTGTTTTGTTTGTTCTTCTTTTTAAATGTCTGGCTGGCAATTGTTTTCCCCTGTTTTTTTTTTTTTTTCTTTCCGTTTTCTTCCCCCTCTAAAGATTTGTTTGGATGGTATAACAAAATAAGCTTGGATGTAATCAAACCTTGGCAAAGTCTGGGATGGTCTGTCACAACCTCATTTTGAACTGAAATTTTCAACGGGGTCACCAGTGCTGGTGTCGCGGGGCCTGACCCCCTCCATTGGCTTGAGGTCTCTTGTGTGGTAAAACTATCACAAGGGGGTGAAAAATATTGAATGTTGGAAGGAAAAGATCTCGCTCACTCTATCCTGGAGAGGTATCTATTATAGAGATGGTAGTCTTCTGAGAAAGAAACCAAGCCATTCCAGTATATTATTTTAAATTTCGATGTTGTGACGAACCGCGTCTGCCTCCCGCTGCTCCGCTTCATAACCAAACCGTAGAGGCAGCTAGTTCAGAACCGCACACTAGCTGTTTAGCGGTGTTGAATTAACTTTTTTTTTTTTTTTTTTTCTTGAACTGTAATGGAGGTAGCAATTGGATTTGTCTTTCTTCCTTCAAAAACCATTCTTGAAGTCGATTAACGGTGGGCTTGTGGCAGCTTCCGCAGTGCAGAGTTGGAATGGCTTCTCTAGGACCACGAGGTCAGAGCGGACGAGCCCAGAAAGCCCAGCTCGTCTCTGAAGAAATCCGCATGCTAGTGTTCTTGTTTTTTGGTCAAGGAGATTTTCGAACCGATTTCTGCAGCAGGCTTTTACGTTCGTTACAAGTAACATTTGTTAACTTTTTCGTTTTTCTCTTTTTCAAGCTGCGTTGAATTCCGAAAGACATCCTCGGCTTTACTCTTGAGACACGGCTCCCTCGTGACCCCCGGATCTTAGGGAGGCCTGGGGTCAGCAGAATTCGGTGTGCACCACGGGAAACTGCACTAAACCAGCTGCAGGGCTGCGGCTTGGGTGTAAACCAGACTCGTACTGGTTTGTTTAGTGGAGGTTTCCATGGCATCCTGGCCAGAGACAGGGTTCTTTCAAACTCCTGCGCGCTCTTAATCGTACGCTAAGGGCGAGTGGGATGCGTTTAACTGAAGTGCAATAGATTTACTCTCAAGCGTGTTGTGCCTTTTGGAAAAGGTGACCTGAAGCAGATGCGTTGACAGTATTGAAGTGACTTGAGAGCAGTGGTGCTACTTAGGCCCTTCTGTGTTACTTAGGCCCATCAAGTTTTACAAAAGTTGTTTTATTGCACATCTAGGGTTTTATATAAGTGTCTTGAGTGCGTGTCCTTAAGCTTCCAAATATTGTGTGTGAAGATTGTGAAAACGCAGCTTGTTTACAAAAGGGGAAGGGTTCTCCAATAGTTAACCAGGATTGATTTGGGACCAGGGATTAGCAGTGGGGAATTTAGCTATTTGCACAGATTACTAGATTCTACTTTTGCTGCTAGTTTGTGTAATTTATTAAGCATTTTTGAGAAATATTTATTTTTATAAGCCTAAAAAGTGATAGTTTCAAGAAACTTGACCAAAAGACCGTACAAAAACACTGGCACTTGAATGTTGAATGTCACCCGTATGCGTGAAATTTATATTTTTCGGGGTAGTGTGAGCTTTTTAATGTTTAAGGTCATTTTGGACTCATTTTGGACTAAATCCACATCTGTAATTGGTCTCTCTGACTAAACGAATCAATCCGATCAGTCAAACTCTGAATTGGCAGCCGAAATTTAAATAAACAACCATGCCAAGGTTTGGAAAAAGTTGCAAAAATATTTTTGTAAACGTGTATCAGTGCAAAGTGTTCAGATTATCCAGTTCTCTTTGTTTTGTTTTTGTTTTTTTCCAATATTTATTTTATTTTTTATTTGTACCCCCAGTGAATGTCTGGCACACGGCAATCTTAAGTAACAAAAACATGTGGTTATTCTCTATTGTTGCATTTGCATATTGGGCTCTGGCGCTGGTGTTCTCGGACAGGTTTGGCTGAACATTCGGTCTTAATTACAGAAGCAGTTATGAGTGAAGTGTTGAAAGCATGCAGTGAGAGGCTTTTAATTGACCAGATCATGTGAAAGAACATCACCGGAGCCCTTAGAGTTAGAGTATTTGCTTTATGTACTAGTTTAGAGGCTGTGCACTGCACGAAAAATGAAATGTGTGTTTATTGTATTTTACCAAATTAAAGTTGGAAGTTGCAAATACAGAAACCGCTCGGGCATCTGTGCATCTTAAGTGACTGGATACTAAATCCCTGCCGTTACCTTTTAAAGGACAGTTCAGCCAAAAAGAACATGGTCATTTACTTGCTTTCGTGTTGTTCCCAAACTGTAAGACTTTCTTCTATAGAATAAAACGATGGTCAATGCAGCGGTTGGTAGATTGATGATAATGCAGCTTCAACAGCAGCGGGGAAATGCCTGGTCGTTCATTTGATAGGACTTGGTTTATATTTGTGACAAAATGTGATCTTGGCATGAAAGAAGCTGAAGAAATAGCGATGATTAGTATACAGCTTGCAGCTAGATTTCTGTTCAGCACTGGATTCCACACAAAGAAAGCCGTCCGAGGCCCTGCTAGTGACTGGTGAGCGTTTACTGTGTGTCTCTGCTTCTGATGCTGGATAGAGTGGAATATTTACCTACAAGCCAATGAAAACTAGTCTGAAATGCGTCTTTAATAAGATCAACACCTGCAGCTTATGAACGACTCGGGTAAAGACATTTTCCTTCAAACGGCACACATCACCTAACAGCATTACCCTGGTAAAAACCATTCAATGTTTTTGGACATGTACCACAGGGTATCATAATATTAAACTCCTTTGATTCTACAGTTTTAAAGCCATATGCTGAACTTATTTCATCAGTAATGTATCAACAGTGCCATGTTTGTTTCTTTCTTTGTTTGTTTTATATTCTTTGAACCGCCTTATAAATATATAAATCATTATATAAATACCTGGTGCATGAATCTGAGTAACTATTGAGTAGCATGGTATGGTAAAACCATTGAAATGGCGTTGAGATAGTGAATTGGTGGGTTTTTGTTAAATGTGAGCCAAAATCATCACAATTAAAAGAACCAAAGACTTAAACTACTTCAGTCTGTGTGCATTGAATTTATTTAATACACGAGTTTCACAATTTCAGTTGAATTACTGAAATAAATGTACTTTTCCACGACATTCTAATTTATTGAGATGCACCTGTATTATTATGGTAATTGTATTTCTTCTGCAGATGTTTTTTGATCATGTATTCAGTCCAGCCACATGACCTTGACTTTGTGTTTCTGTTGAAATTAAGTATTTTCAATTAAATTCACGTTCATATGCAGTGTTGTGGAGTAAATAGTTACATGTAAGGGAATTATGTAATTTAATTACAAAATAAATGTAATTGTAATCAGTTACTGAGATGAAATGTGTAATTAAATTAGTTACTTATGAAAATGCTAACGATTACAAAGCAGGTTACATCTGAATTTTTGATTTAATTGATTTCTTTCATAAATTGCAGTGACTGCTCTAAAATATGAGACACCAATGTCTCAGGAGTTTAGTACAGAGAATAGGGGACACATGCTTAATTTTTTAAGATTAACTGTTTTTTCCAAGGCATTGTTAGATTCCAGTGTTTCCTGTCATAGCTATACAAAGATTCGATTTCAAAACAGTATTATAGCTATTAAACTATTTCTTATGAGTTTAAATCTGTATTTAACCTCAGAAAGATCTCAAAGTAAGTCTGATTTTGTGGTGGCTGTGCTTTAAAATTACATTATTATAATCTTAATTCAAGTGAAGGATTTTGAAAGTCGGACCGTAATTACAATCCCAATTCCAGAAAGGTTGGGACGTTTTGTGGAATGCCATAAAATCAAGAATATGTTATTTGTTCATTCTCTTTAACCTTTATTTAATTTGACTGACGTACAAAGAAAAAATTTCCAATGTTTTCACTGGCCAACCTAATTGTGTTTTGTAAATATAAACAAATTTTGATGGCTGCAACACACTCCAGAAAAGTTGGTACAGAGGCATGTTTAACTGTGTCACATCAACTTTCCTTTTAATTATAATGTTTCATTGTTTGGGAATTGAAGATACTAATTGTTAAAAGTTTTGCAAGCAAAATATTCGTCCTTATTATTAGACCTGATTAGACCTGGCATTGTCTTGATCTAATAACCATGGACTTCCCATGAAAGACGTCATCTTGATGGCAGTATATGTCTCTGTACAATCCCAGTATATGCTTCCGTGTCAATGGTACCGTCTTTCTGAAGTACTCCTGAGCCCATGTGGCTATATTTCACACCGCAGCATGATGCTATCTCATGCTATGCCATCTGAGGGGTCAAAGGTCACACACATTCACCTCAGGTTTCCTGCCTTGCCCTACGCAGACTGAGATTTCTCTGGATTCCCTGAATCTTTTCACAATATTATGTATGGTAGTTGGTGAAATACCCAAATTCTTTGTGATTTTGCATTGAGAAATTTCTAAATTTGGCACAAAGTGACGAGCCATGATCCAGCTTTGCTTGCAGAGACAGAAATGCTCCTTTTCTTCCCAAACATGACACCCTCACCTATTACCAGTTCACCTGCTCACAGTGAACTGTTTCAAAACCGTTTAATTTGGATATTCTATAACCTTTTTACTTTTATTTTGCCTATGTCCCAACGTTTTTGGAGTGTGTTGCAGCCATCAAAATCAAAATTTCTTTATATTTACAAAATACATTTAAGTTGGTCAGTGAAAACTTTGGAAATATTTTCCAACTTAAATAAAAGTTAGAGAATTAACAAATCTCAGATTCTTGATTTAATTGCATTTTACAGAACTTCCCAACTTTTCTGGAATTGGGGTTTGTGGTGTTGAGCACTACTGTAAGGTTAACCTAAACCTAACCCTGACCCTGTCTGGTGACTAACAGTTGAAAACATTCGAAATTTTGAAAAGTAATCAAATGTAATGAGTTACATTACTTTAATAAAATAATTGAAATAGTTACACTACTTATTAGATTTTAAATAGGGTAACTTGTAATCTGTAACCTATTACATTTCCAAAGTAACCTTCCCAACGCTGCTTATTTGTATAGTGCTTTTCACGATACAAATCGTTGCAAAGCAGCTTCACAGAAAATAAATGTTTCTACATTATATTTAGGAGTAGCTTGTCAGTGGTGATTATGTCAAGGTGATTTTCATGGAGGCCCCACAACAGCCAAGCACTGAAAAAGCAAGCATCAGACCAACTGCAGCAATGAGTAATTAAAGCCATTTTAAGATGATTTTAGTCAAAATGGCTGAAAAATCATGAATACAACCACTAATAATATGACTTAATGGGTTATCAGTTTTGACCAATAGGTGGCACTGTTATCAAATCGATGTGGTGTGTTCTGTGTGAGGTGACAATGGCACACACAAAGTTTGGTGTCAATATGTCAAAGCTTTGCAGAGATACAGCCTCAGACGTAGTCTGGCATCATGCCTCAAATTTGTTGCGGTGCTATACAAAAACGGTTTGGTCTATAAACACGAAATCCATAACTTTTTGCCAGCATGGTCTGAAGATGATCTGAGTTCAATTTGGTGAAAATTGGACCAACGGTCTAGGAGGAGATCGAAAAAGTAGGTTTTCAACAAAAATCAAAATGGCGGACAGGAAGTTTATCTGACTATGGCAAATTAGTATCTTATGTTCTCGGCATGACCCAATGAATATATTGAGACCAGTTTCATTACAATAGCTAAATTTATTCAAACGTTATTAGCATTTTTGTACATTTCATTTTAATTATAATGAAAATAATTATTGTATTGCAGATTTCTCCAGATCACTCGCGTGTTTTCATGCATGCAGCAACTCACCCTAAAAAGTTTTTTTTTTGACCACAAGGTGGTGCTGACATGAAACTTTTTGAGTACTGTCAGGACGTGGTGTCGAAGACACATACTGAGTTTCATAACGATACGCCAATGCGTTCGTAAAATATGGCATTTTACGACCAAATCCAAAATGGCCGACGCCCAAAATGGCTGACATGGGAAAATTGGGTATGGTTCGACTCGGCATGCTGCACTGAATCTAAAGAGACCAGCTTTGTGATTTTTGGCCAAACCATTCAGAAGTTATAAGCAAAACTAGCCATTATTCATATCTCCTCAGCACTAGGTGGCGCAGCGCCGAAACTGTGCAGGTTGCCTCAGGTCATGCTTGTTATAACACACACCAAGTTTGAATTAGTTCTGGTACTATGAAAAGGTTCCCGCGGTGCGAAAGGCCATAATACGCCAAATCGTTGTGGAGATAAAGCGTCACATCCATTTTTGCGTCCTCTTTGCCGAATTCGTTCACACGTTATTTGAGAATGGTTTGACTAATCAACTTGAATTCCATAACTTTTTGCCAGCATGGTCTGAAGATGATCTAAGCCAATTTTGGTGAAAATCAGACAAACCGCCTAGGACGGAGTTTGAAAAAGTAGGTAGCGAAAAAACTAGACCTTACGAACCAAGAATCTTTGTCCATTTGACTCGGCATGAGCCAAGGATTCAGAGGAAAAAATAATTTTTCTTCTAGACCTTACGGTTCAAAAGTTATTAGCATAAACATGAGTGAAACTTTGGACAAGTGGTGGCGCTAGAGAGTTTAAGTTAGAGACACCAAACTTGCTGTGGTTAATGTTGAGACTGTCCTCTATCAGTGTGCCAAATTTCATAACTTTCCCGCAAGCGGATCTATGGGTTGCCATAGACTCAAGAGCGGAAGAAGAATAACAAGAACGCCAACGGAAACAATAGGTACCATCGCACCTTCAATGCTTGGCCCCTAAAAACAGGGTTGCATCAGAATGTGTTTTCTAGTTATTAGCTTCACTCCTGGTTAGTGAAATCAGAGAATGGGTTATGGTTAGGCTTGTGTGTGTCACAAAGAACGAGGAGAACATTCATTTTTTTAATTCGTAAAGCCGGAAAAATAAAAATATTGTGAAATGTAAACTATCCATTAATTAACTCGCCGCTGACATGCAGTTTATCAGAGCAGGAGGCTCTCAACACATATACACACAATCATTCACTCACACACAGACTAGACAATAATCATTCAAACACACTGCATAAGCTGTTTAAATGTGCATTTACACTTACATTTAATGATAAAGATGTTTTATCCAAAGCTACTTATAAACAAAGAGCATCACAAGCAGTTTGTCATGAGAGTCAACAATATTTGCAGTTTTAAAGTATAAGCAAATCTTCATTCAATAGCTATAGAGAAGAAGAGAACATGATTTTATTGAACTGATTAAATATACAAATTAATAATAATAGTTAAGTGCCTATGTATATGGGTGTGGATTAGTTAAGTGTTTGCAGAAGCTGTTGTGATGGTTTTAGCAGATCAGCGGATCTCTCGTGCGCTGGATGAAGTGTTGTACGTGCGGTGTGTATTGAGGAGGGCGCGGATGCAGCAGCAGTCCTGAAGGCCGAGGTTTAAAACCTTGAAATCGTGCTGGCGGCTACAGGTGAAATCTCTTAATATTCACTCTTTTGAGCAACTTCCCCAACACCGCTGACATCACATACGAAATACAGAGGTACATTCGTTTTCTATGTAATGTGGTTCTTACATTTGTTCTCCCTCGTCGCCGTACCGTTTATCTGTATTTATCTGACCGAGCAGAACGTTGCCGGTGCGCCTAGCTCTGGCAGTGTCGGGGGTAACGCATTACAAGAGTTTTGGGGGTAACGCATTACAAGTAATGCGAGTTATGTAATCAGATTACTTCTTTCAAGTAACTAGTAAAGTAACGCATTACTTTTTAATTTACAAGAGAATATCTGAGTTACTTTTTCAAATAAGTAACAGCAGTTACTTTGTTTCCATGTGTTGAGTGACAGCTCTGGTGTTGCCATGGTGACAGAAATCAGGAGTGAGTGCAGAGCTTTGTGTGTGAACATGATCTTACTGTAGTTCTAGACTCGATATGAACAAAAACAGATTCAGTGTTCCTCAAAATGAATAAAAACAGTCAACTGCAAACTCAGAATATTATACAAACCTGCAATAATTCAATCTTAAATAAGACAAATATCATTTATCATGATCTTACTGTAGTTCTAGACTAAATATGAACAAAAACAGATTCAGTGTTCCTCAAAATGAATAAAAACAGTCAAATGCAAACTCAGAATATTATATAAACCTGCAATAATTAAATATGTTAAATAAGACAAATATAATTTACAGTATGTATTTAATCCCATTTTATTAACCAATGTTTTTGCTACTGACCTTCTATGATCCAATTCAATCATACTAATAAGCAAAAATGACACATTTGTGATTCATTTTTGTTATAGCTAAACAGTGTTGAACTTTCTTCTGCTGCGTCATATTCTTCATGTGATTAGTTTGAGCGGCGCCCTCTACTGTACAGACGTGAATTTACATTTCCTTCAGCCTGAGGCGCATTCACTGCACTCTTGTTGTGAAAGGGCTTATACTTATGTTTGTAAAAGAATAACTTTTTTATATTAAACACAAACAAGTAAGCCCAGCGCAGCGTAACTCAAAAGTAACGTAACGCATTACTTTCCATAAAAAGTAACTAAGTACCGTAATTAGTTACTTCTTTACGGAGTAACGCAACATTGTAATGCATTACTTTTAAAAGTAACTTTCCCCAACTCTGCGCTCTGGTATTCAAATATCAGTAAAGGTCTGCAATATGAGCCAAAAACAAAAAAGCAATATAGGTCCCGGTGTATGTCATACATCAGATACTGTTGTGGGTAGATAAAATCATATTTGCCATAGAACAAATGAGTAAAAGTACATTATAAAAAATATATATTCATTAAAAGTATTTATAAACTTATTTGTATTAAAGCAGCAATACGTGATGACATTCTGTATATTTAGCTTTCAGTATTAAGATTAAAAGGTTTGTGTTGTGAATGATTGCATGCCAGCCATGAATTTACATTTCCTTCAGCCTGAGGCGCATTCACTGCACTCTTGTTGTGAAAGGGCTTATACTTATGTTTGTAAAAGAATAACTTTTTTATATTAAACACAAACAAGTAAGCCCAGCGCAGCGTAACTCAAAAGTAACGTAACGCATTACTTTCCATAAAAAGTAACTAAGTACCGTAATTAGTTACTTCTTTACGGAGTAACGCAACATTGTAATGCATTACTTTTAAAAGTAACTTTCCCCAACTCTGCGCTCTGGTATTCAAATATCAGTAAAGGTCTGCAATATGAGCCAAAAACAAAAAAGCAATATAGGTCCCGGTGTATGTCATACATCAGATACTGTTGTGGGTAGATAAAATCATATTTGCCATAGAACAAATGAGTAAAAGTACATTATAAAAAATATATATTCATTAAAAGTATTTATAAACTTATTTGTATTAAAGCAGCAATACGTGATGACATTCTGTATATTTAGCTTTCAGTATTAAGATTAAAAGGTTTGTGTTGTGAATGATTGCATGCCAGCCATGAAGATACCATCAAAACATTACGGAAAGGACAGATGAAAGACAGCAAAATGAGAAAAGTAAAATTAATAAGACAGAAAGTAGACAAAGACAAATACAGGGCAAGTGAAGTATTACAATTACATTTGTCAAACACAAAGACTGAACTGCTCATTCAGCTTTAAAAAACAATGGTTGAACATATTTTTTAAATATGAATAACTGTAAAGTGCACTAAATTGATAAGCACATGTATTATTTATATTCTTTCAGGAGTTGCACCTCTAGCGAAAGGCTGGAATTACATTACATTAAAGAAACCGTGAGCGAACAAACAGATATGTGACCCTGGAGCACAAAACCAGTCTTAAGGTCCATTTTGTAAGCATAAACAGAAGTGTTTTAGACTGACTCTCGGTGTAAACAGCTCACTTTCACCTCCATATCATCAAACACTACGTGAGTGCAGAAGCCAAGTCCTGACTGGTTCAGTAGTGTACAGGCCAGCAGATCTTCAGGTGCATGATGGGAAGACGCCCTTCACCGGAAGCACGTTTTAACTCGAGAGGAGAGGCCAAGCAGAAAGCCACTCGATACCACACTGTTTTTCTTCACAAACTCAGTGGTCTGAAAAACAGGAGGGTTTATGAGGTATAACTATTCATAACCAAGAGAGGGCACTGCTACACGCAGAAAAACAAATGATAAAACTCATGTATGGCGCTGAACTAATTAAAAAAAGACAGTTCTTCTGGATTGAGTCTGTCTCAGTTTGTTCTGTTTCTTCATGTGATCTCAGACGGACTGATGATCATCAGAGCTCTCAGATACAGAAATCTCACTGCATTATTACAATTAATGTTTGGAAATGTAAACTGATATTTCCTACTGACACACAACAGCAAAAGACAGAAATAACTACAACTATTTTTTGTTGGTGAACATACTAATCGCTTTTGCACAGTACAGTATATATAATATGGAGTGTAACCTTATGTCGTAACATTAATAGCTTTAACTTAAGACTAAAATATTAGCCTTATAAAAACCCACAATACTTCATAAGAACATGATTTTTGTGGCCAGGACGCGTTTTAGCGAGATTCACCCAACAGAACTGGCCAGACCCTGACAAAACCGAGACGAGCTCATTCTCAGTCTTCGTGTTTAGGAGAGGAGTTGTGTCTACGCCTGTCAGTTTATTTCATGTAGTCCACACGACGCGTGTAGTGCTTTAGCTGTTGTTCCGCCATTTTGGGTGCTGCGTGTGACGTCACGGCGTCAGGTGATGTTGACAGCTGCGAGCTCCGCCTACAGCCACGTCAGTGTTTCAAACGTCAGACAGAACGTCCGCTTATAATTACTGCGTTTTCATATCCATAACACACACACAAGTGAAGAGTTTGCATTCGTTTCATTTCATAATAAACTCACAGCACTAAATAAACGAGCAGGACTGAACGCGTTGCTTAAAGCAGACGGGCGACATTTGTAAAGGCCTTCCTAAAGACGGCAGCACATTGTACAGTGTTCGAGGGAATTAAAACAGCTGAAGGATTGGGCCTCAGTTTAACCCTTAGCTGCACGGCTGTCAGTCCGATTTCCCCGTTTCATGAAAACCACACCTCTCTATTCGCATTTCATAACAACGCTAATGAGCCGCTCGGGATCCAGTGTTTTTGGGAATCGTTTTTGTGACCTTTCCGTGTCTCGGACGTTTCTTGTCGCGCACTCGAGCGATCGTTACAGGACACAAAATTACCGAAAGGACTGGAGCACAACATTTTGGGACGAGGCCAGTGACGCGCTCGCGTTCTGCGCAGCGATTGGCTGTGGAGCCCGGGAGGGCGTGGCGACGTCGTGGGTTCGCCTGTGTGACACAATACAACAACTTTAATCCGCTAGCGAACACAACTTTGAGATTGTTTTAATACGTCCAGCGTTTTTAAGCGTGCAACGGGCCGCAAGTCGCGCATAAACATTGAGCCGCCGCGTCACAGTTTATTTCTACAAAACAATGTGAGAGGACGCGCCGCTGGAGGGCCAGCTCACTTCGCACGGGGCTTCAGACGCTGAGGCGCGATTTACTGGAGAGAAAAAAAGTTCGCGTTTATTGTGGCTTTTGGACGCACGGAGCTCGCCTTCCCTCGATTTCTCGGTGCGATTCCATGAAATCGTGCCGAGTGTCGCTCGCCGTCGCCGCCGCTCGACGCCTCAGCGCCGCTGGTGATGAGGAGAAGAAAATGGCGGCGGGAAAAGCGAGTGAACCCGAGGAGGACGCGCCGCGGCTGAGCGCGCAGGAGAGCGACACTCTGGCCCGCGTCGACAGGTCGGAACCGGCGCTCAACGGAGCCCGCGAGCGTCTTTTTGAGTGCTTTTGATTGTTTCTGGCTGTGAGGCGTGTGTGAGTTGATCCTGAGCCCTGTGTGTTTGTCTCGTTCGCAGCTCTCTGTTCGGATACCAGCGGCTTCGTGAAGATGGCGCCAGCACGAAGGCCCTGCTCGTAAAGGTAAAGATGCGCGTTTGAATCAACGCTTCACAACGCACACATGCGGTGCAAAATGACAGCGAGTGCCACGGTTTCCGAGCTCGAGGCTGTGTGCGGTCTGGGCGGCGACGCGTCCTGTATTTTCTCCTCAGAGTCGCGCGGCTAACGCGCTCGATTTGACTCGTCCGTCGGCGCTTTGGACGCGTCTCTGCCCTCCGATCACACGGCCGCGCGTCGCGCTCTGTCAGTGTCAAGCCTTCAAACGTCAAATATACAGGGGATTGGTTACTTCTTTAAATTATAAAAAAGTAAATATATGAATGGTATTATAATGTTATACTAAAACTAAAACTAAAACAATGGAAAAACCCTTAAGATAACATGTAGAAAGAAAAAACGCATCTTAAGCGTGCAGAATAACATAAATGGACTTTGAACGATTACGTAATTGTGGCATCCATAATTGTAATCGCGATTAGAAATTCGATTAATTGTGCAGCCCTAACAAATAATCAAACTACAAGCAACAACACAAATAAATACAATAGAGCAAAGATGCAAATAAAATAGTGTCTTTCAGGTGTTTAACAGTAATTTTCAGGCACAGAAAGTTAAAAGTAAACGCATGTAAAATAACAGTGCATATTTCACTGTATAAGTTACAAAATCTATTACATCAACAGAAGTGAGTGATTTTCTTGTATTATTATTATACAAGAATTATTATTTTTTTGTGTTAGTTTGTTAGTTCAGACGCAAGTCTTGAAAGAGAAATCCATATTTGCACAGCACGCGCTGTCTGACAAGACTCTGTGTGTGCACACGCTACGGATGAGTACACACACACACACACACACTCACTCACTCACTCACTCTCTCACATTCACTCACTCACTCACTCACTCACTCTCTCACACACACACATTCACTCACTCACTCACTCACTCACTCTCTCACACACACACATTCACTCACTCACTCACTCACTCACTCCTCAATTCCTAATACACTCA